AATGAGGAGCTGGTCGGGGGGGGGAGCCAGGGCTGTGCTGGGTGCAAGGATGAGCAGGGAGGGGGTGTTAGAGCTGGGGGTGGGGCTCTGTTGGGGGACCTGGTGTTTAGTGGGTCTTTGCCTTGGTTGCCTGCAGGGCAGGTGAGGAATTTGGTAGCCCCTTAATGTTACCTCCTATGGGGTGTAACTCTGGGAGGGGATGGGATGGAGGAGCTCCTCTGGACTGGGGTCATGTTGGGGCAGGGGAGGACATCTTCATCCCATAGTGACATTGCTTCCATCCATCTATACCCAGTCCCAAGAGACCTGAGGACATGCCATGACCCTTGTTGGCTGTCACCACCCAACTCAGCCCAGTGGGGCTTGCTGCTTAGGGGCAGCCTGTGGGGCTGATGAGGCCCCAGCTGTGATAGGGTGGTGAGATTGAGGCCAGGGCCACCCCATTGGCTCCCAGCATGCCCAGGACCCTAGAAGAGCAAAAGCTCCCCAAGTGACCATGGGAGCTGGTGAACAGAGTTAGTGGGGCCCCTCACTTCTCCCCCACCTTGGCGGGTCAGCTAGCCCCCAGGTGAGGCTGGAGCTCCCCTCCGTTCTCCTGGTTCCCCGTCAGAAGAGGCTGAGCTCTCCACCAGCTCAGCTGGTGGGCACCCTCCCAGCTTCGGGGCATCCTCCTGGGGTAGGCTGCTTCAGCCTTCCTCCCCTCGAGCCTGGTGGAGAAGACTGGGCTTTGCTCCTGGCCAAGTAGGGCACTTGGCTCACTGCATCGGCAATGACGCTCCATCTCCTGGAGAGCTTCACCTCATTGGCTTTCCACCCGTCTTTGGCGCAGGCTTCAGTGTGCACAAGCTTCTCAGTGCTGGTGCTCAGTCTCTTTTCCTTCAGCTCATCAACCACCTCAATTAGTGGGAGGTTGGTGGCAATGAGGAGGTCAGTGGGAGGTTGGCAGTCAACAAGGAGGGCAGCAGCTCTCTTGCTAATAGATGGCCCTCCATTATCTGTTCCTTCCCACCAAGCATTAAAGCTCTCTCCCAGCATACAACCAGCCAAAAAATAACCTAAGTAAGTCCTGCATTTTTCACACCTTAGGTGTCCACTCTCTGGGTCTGCCCATGAGGCCAAGACTTTGATAGGTGCCCAGTGGCTCCAACATATGTAAAAGCAAAGCTCACCCCCCACACTGCTCCCCCAAATCCACAGCCCTCCTCATCCCTTAAGATGCCTCCAGCCTATGCACCTCACTGGGTGCTCCTCCGCCACTGTCCACATGCAGGCTTTTGGCACCATCACAGCAGCTCCCCCATTAACCTCCTCCCTATATATAAATAGTATATATATGTACTATACATACTCTCAATAAAAGCTGCATTGAAACCAAGACAAACCACTTGCTTCGGTACAGAAAGCTGTCTTTCGGTACAGACCATAGCATGGTGTAATCATCTGCAGCCCATCACCCCGCTTTAACACCAGAGGGCTGGGTCTTGCATGGATATTGCAGTCCAGGCGCACAATCGTGGTCTCTGGGCCATGTCTGTGCAGAGCATCCTGGGGCGCGGATGCCCCTTCCGAGGGCCAGTGTCCACCACCGCAGACTGATGTGCTTTCTGGTGGCTGTTTGTCCCTTTGTGTCGTGCTAGGGTGATGTCAAGGCTCATCCTGTCCCATCCACGGCAGCGCTTGAATATATGAAGGGTGACACCCCCACTTTTGGCAAAGCACAGCCTCCCTCCTGCCCATTTTCCCCTTCAAGCCTGCAAAAGCCTCCTTCCATGCAAAGCCCAGGCAGCTCCTGCGGCTGTCCCATCCCACCCATGGCCCACAAAGGACATCCACGCAACCCTGACCCAGTTGGGAGCAAAGAGCAGACCCAGCGTGGTGTCACCCCACCATGGCTGGCTGCATCACTGCTTCCCCCTCAATGCACCAGGCAAAGGCACCCCAAGTCTGGTGTGGGAAAAGGGATCCCCTCCTCTTTACAGGCCTCCTTGGCGTTTTGTGCCAGCAAGGCTTTGTGGCTGTCTCCCATGCTAACAGCACTTGTGCATGACTCACCGAGGCCACCTTGTCCTGGGGATGCTTTTTCTGAGGTGCCCATCTCCATGGCTTCAAACCAGCCTGACCCCTCTTGACCCCTGTTTCTGAGCAGAGCGAGGCTTGATGAGGAAATATGTCCTTCACCATCAATGCATCCCATTCCAGTCATCTATCAATCTCGCAGTCTTCCCGTTCATTCGCCTGTGGGGTCCTTGCCTACCTGTCTGTCAATCATTTGGTCGTCCATCAGCCTGTCCATCAATCACCCAGCCATCAACTCCCCTCCGGCTGGCACACACCGTGCCACCCCCTCACCATAATCATTCCTCAAACCATTATTAACCCCAGCCAAGGGCACCCACCAGCACTGGGAACCCCTCGCTCGGCTGATGTCCCTTCTTGTCCCCTTCCCTTGCAGTTGCTCCCAAGGGCCCGAAGATCACGATGACACCGACAAGAGCCCGTGTTGGAGATACCGTGCGGATCTTGGTGCAGGGCTTCCAGGTCAGCATCCCCATCCATCCCCATTGCCGTGGGGCGATGCCGTGCCAACAGACAACCTTGCATCCACACCAGCACTTTGTGGGCTTGGCCTGGTGGCCTTGGGTTGCATCATGGTCCCTACATTGGTGCACCCCTGGGCGTTTCAGCTGTACCCCGTCCTTGCTCCAGGCATGAGGCAGGGCTTACTCACCCCCCTACACCCCTCTCACAGCTCCCCATCTCCCCACAGAATGAAGTCTTCCCCGAGCCCCTCTTCACCTGGACCCGGGTGGGGAGCCGGCTCCTCGACGGCAGCGCTGAACATGACGGAAAGGAGCTGGTGCTGGAGAGGGTGCCAGCCGAGCTCAACGGCTCCATGTACCGCTGCACCGCCCAGAACCCCCTGGGCTCCACCGACACCCACACCCGGCTCATCGTTTTCGGTATGGCAGTCGCTGGGGTCACCCCTCCCTCCACAAATCCTCACTCACCTTCCCCTAATAAAACTGTCTCTCTACAATTTCTTTCCCATTAGAAAACCCAAATATTCCCAGAGGAACAGAGGACTCCAACGGTGAGTGGTGGGAGTGGTATTTTGACCTGAACCCCCCCCAGGGAGGGCAGGACCGTGCAGAGAGCATCCCCCCTTGCATCACCCCAAGCCCTTGCCCTCAGCAGCAGGGATGTCTTTGCACCAAAAGGGGCCCCATGGATGCTCCCCGCAGCATCCCTGACCTGCTGCCTGCCCCGCACATGCTCCATAGCAAGTTTAGGAGGGGGAATCCCCCCCAAAAAAGGTGGTGACCCCATCCTGCTCCGAAGCCAAGCAGCGAGACACGGCTCCCTAAACTCCCCATCCCTTTTCTCCTCCCGCCTAGGTTCACTTACTGGCCGCTGTGGCTTCAGACTAGTTTTGGCACTCACCCTAACAGTGATCCTGGAGCTAACGTGAAGCTTCGCCTGCCTCTTCCTCCTCCTCTTCCTCTGTACGGCTCCACCTGGCATTTACACCTCTGTCAATCGGTTCTCTCGCTCTCTCTTTTTTTTTTTTTTTCTATACTATTTACAGTCTCGGTCTCTTTCTGTCTGTGTCTTGGCTTCCTCAGACAATTTAATTAAAAGGAAAAAGAAAAATCTCCCCGGTAGAAGGCTGTGCTTAATGTTTTGCCTTGTGCTAGGGTACCCAGAACCATTTTGGGGTACCCAAAGGCTTTGCAAGGTCTTGCGGGGGGGTCGTCTATTATGCAAGGGTCAGATTTCCCCTGGAAAAATCCATTTACACCATTCCCACTGCACCGAGCTGCTCCAGGTCTCAGCTCCCCGGGGTAGAGACTGCACGTGTCCCCAGCATGCGGGACGTTGGGGATGAGTCCTACACGCGGACGGTGGTGCTAGGAGCCCGAAAGCCGCGGATCACTGGCCTTACACCCCGGGACCTTGGTTGGGGCAAATCGGCTTTGCTGGAAGACGGGAGCCGTGCACAACACTTGTCCCGGGCTGGACGGTCAATCTCTAGTGACAGACGGCTCCCAACCCAAAATGTCAGCGCTCACACATGAGCAGGCAGCACGCATCCCGTCAGGCAGCGCTGGCGCGGAGGCACCAGCCGAGTTTTAAGCGCTGTGCCCACGTTTGGTCCATCCCATCCTCCCCATCCCTCTTGGCTAATTGTTGCCGTGGAAACAGATAACGGTGAAGCACGGCCAGATCCTGGTCATTCCTACGGTACCCCATGCCGCTGGGCACATCCCAGTCCAGCGTTAATCCTGCTGTGGGATGGCTCTCTGCAAAAACCAGGTGGTTTTTGCCCCAATCCTGCCCAGTGCTGGAGGATGCCGGTGGTTTGCCCGGCTACTTTCCCTCCCCAAAGTGCCCCAAGGGCATCCAGCCCCAGGCCAGGATCCCTGGGGAGCGGACACAGTGGTGGGGGAGAGGAGCCCAAGGACGGGGTGCTCCCCTGCCTTTTCCTCCAGGAGCTCTTAATCCTAGAGGATTAGCCAGCAGCCATGCAGTGCTTCGTCTTTCCAAAGCCCTGTACGAGTGCTAAGCATTATTATTGCTATTATGATTAATTATTATTAAGCAGATTCAGTCCCTACCATGCTCCATTGCCAGCCTCGCTGCAAGCGATTTCCCAGCCTCAAAGGAGCCGAACAAACACACGGCAGCTCAGGAGTTTCTTCCCGCACTCAATAATTTGGACTGGCAGCAATGCAGGGACAGACTGGGGCTGGCTGGGATGTAGGAGGATCAGCGGCTCCGCTTTCATCCCAAAGCAACAGCATCCGAGCACCCGAATCCCTTCGGACCAGCTGCCTGAATCCCCCCCTTGCTCTCTTCCCCCCAACCACTTTCACTGCTCCAGCCCATTGCATCTCCCTGGGTGCAAAGAGAACCTTCATTTTTTAGGGGAACTGTCATTTTTTAGGGAAATCTGCGTGACTCAGTTTACCCCCATGCTACCGAGCAGGCAGGAGAGCCCCCCCACCACGGCATGGATGTTTCTTACCCTCCTCGCTGGATTGGAGATGCTCCAGGGGCCTCGTCCCAACATGATTAAACAACCATTAGGCCTTCTCGCTTCAAAAATAGGGATTTATAGACGCCCAAACCTCCATTTAAATGCAAATGTGGTGATTTTAGCCCGGAACCATGGAAATGAGGAGCATTAGAGAGGCAGTGCCACCATCAACTGGCTCTGCTTGGCGGCATCTCAAGAGTGACATGACCTCCCCATCCAGCAGCTGGGAGAGGACCAGTGGGCTCAGAGGTCCTGCATCCCAAATCCACCCCTCTGTGTGCATTTGGGATGCTTAGCTCTTTCCCATGGTGACGGATCAGGGTATAGGATGGGATCCTCTCAGCACCAGCACAGCCAAAGCGATGACCGCAGGGGACATGGGCATCGCTCCTCATTTTGGGCAGAGATGCTACCTGCTTTCCCAAAGTGACCCCAAGGCGAGGGACATGGAGAGATGCCACCCCACCAAAGCAGCGATCCAAAGAAAACCTCCCATACCGTGCTGGACCCTGCCTTCACCTCCTGCCCCTCTCATCCTCCACTTACGAGCCCTGCCTCCCCGTCCCCATCCACCTTCCTACAGGTAATTAAAAAGGACATCAATTGAATCCCTGGCTCCCCCTACCACACACCCCGTTGTTTGAGGACCTGGCGGTGAATAATGCAGGAGGCTGGAGGGGGAAAGAGCTGCTCAGGTTGTTTCATTATTGATGAGAGATGACAGATCCACGGCTGACAACCTGCCTAAGAGATATGATTAGCTTGTAAAAAATTAATCGTGCTTCTTAGGGATGACGCGAGCTGAAAACCCCAAGGAGCGGCGTTATCGATGTTCCCTAATTTCAGGGGACTTTGAAAAGGTTTTAGCAAAATTTGGAAGAGGCAATTACATTCAATTAGAGTCACAAGTGCCGAGACGTCACGACTGCTCGCAGACACCACGGCCGCATCCCCTGCTCCCTTACACTGCCGCTCATCCTCCTTACCGCAAGGCATAGATAAATATACATTTACACGTTGGACCTGCATTTTTACCGTGAGGATCCGCCCTCCTGACTTCATTCCCCGTAGCTCGAGCTCGGCTGTCAGGCTCTGGTCCCCCCCATCCTGCCGTTTGTGAAGGCAACAGCACCCAGAGCACGCTGCCTGCCGAAAATGCCCTCGCCTCCCCCTGCACTCCGTGTTTCACCATCCCAAGGTCCATAAAAACCCACCGACGACAAGGATAACCACGCTCAGAGTCAGGGTTTTGGCAGCCCAGCCCTGCATCTTTCAAGGATGCAGCACATCCAGGCCCCCAGCCCTTTAGGATATTAGAGTGGGGGGCACAAAACCAGGGATGTTCCCGCTCGACGGGGCTGGGAATGCCAGTGGGAGCGATGGCAGGCTTTGCTTGGTGCTTCCCCTGCCTCCCCTACCTCATTACTGGGCACAGTTACTGCCGTGGCCGGGTTCACGAGGCCACCAAGGGCATGCATAATTCATATTTCCCAGCTCACGAACGCAAGGATCTTTGCAGCTCTACCTGCACATTAAAAACCGCGGCAGTGAGAGATGAAGAAACCCAAGGTCGTGGCCATGCATGGGTGGCCAGACCCTTTGCCAATTAGCCGAGCCCCAAAACACCTGCCCAGCCTCAATGCACATCCCCATTACCCCGACTCCAGCTCAGCTTTGGGACCCTCCAGGTTTGCAGGCAGGAGGCATACGCCGTCCCCGAGGTTTTGGCCGGACCAAGCGCCTCAATGATGGATTTTGGGTCCCCGTGCCAAATAGGATGGAGGGGAGTGGCTGGGTGGGTTTTGCCTGGTGTTTTGGCCCCTGGACCAAGACACAACCGTGCAGGATGCATCAGTCCAGCTCAATCTAAATAACCTTATTCCCCCAGCCTCTTCATTGCTGTATTTCCCCACGCTGCACCCATACAAGGTGACAACTTCCCGAACATCCCCCTAAAAGCTGCTGGTGGGCTCTCCCCACATCACAGCAGGGATGTGCACAGGGGTCCCCAACTGCCAAGCCAGCACAGGGAATTTACCCCTCTTCTTCCATATATATAAATATTACACTATTTAGCACGTGGTCCCCCACCTAACGAGCATCCCTGGCAAGTCTAGTGGCAGATATACAACCACCCATCGGCACCACCGCGGTCCCCGTGTGAAGCCATCCAGCAAAAAGCAGCATCTCAGCATTGACAGGGAGGGCATCTCAGTGCTTGCAGATGATGGTGAAGGTGGGGAACGTGGCCCAAGGAGGTTCAGATGCTCCTCCCTGTCGCAAAAGGCAGTGCCCGAGATCATGCAACGGCTGGTGAAGATCAGCTTCTGCACGGGAGGTGGTTTGGGAGGCTGCGGACGCTGGGCGTGAGCTCACAAGCACTCACCACCCATTAAAGACCCATAGCAAGACCTCATCCCACCACACTGACCCATGCAGTCAGGCCCCATCGCACCCACACCTCATACAAGGAGCTGTTTTAGCATTCCCTGGGCTCATTTCTCCAGCAAATCCCACCGGATCAGGACCAAGGTAGCGGGGAATGAGTCCCTGCATACAAACAGGAGCAGCCACCCACCCCCACCTACATTTTGGCTGTTTCTTTGCTGCCTTGCAGGGCCTCATTTCTTTATGCATCTCTCAGCATGTGAGACGTTCCCCTTGGGGAAAAGGAAATTAATTTTATCCCTTTGAATTCAGCTCACTTAGCGTCGGTTGCAGAGGGCTGCCATTCCCCAGGCCCCCTCCTCTCCCCCCTGCTGCGGTCCAGGCATGGGGACCCGGCTGCCTCGGGGACGACGGGGACAACAGTTCCCCTAAATCTTTGAAATTCAGATCAGAATCAGACACAACCCCAACATCTTCCCAGGGGAAGAAAGAAGCAAGCGTGACACTGTCTGGCATCCTCCGTGCCTCAGTTTCCCCACAGTGACTCCAATCCCTGTGGACATCCCACAGACAGCAGCACATCACTTCGAAACAACGACTCACATCTCTCCCATCCCAAATTTCTTCCTGGTCCTGATACTTTTGTTCATTTCCCTTAGTTCATCCCTCTCGCTGTGCATGTGGATGCAGGTCTCTGAACGTGGCTGCCACCAGCTGCAGTTTCACTCCTGCCTTTAATTGCTCTTTGGTGTCCAGTTTTCGCCCTCCCAAAGCCCCCAGCTCCTTTTCCGCCGGCTCTTAATTCCCTTGCCACTTCCAAGCTGGCCTCAAAGAGGCCCCAGCAGCTTTCGGGCTATTTCCCGTCACCCTTCGTTAGCCAGCATGCCGCAAATGAAGGCCACCAAATTAATCACCCGCCTCTGCCACAGAGCAGCTGCTCGGCGTCGGACCGAAGGTCTGCCCGGCACCAGGCTGCTTCTCCCTCCCTTCCCCATGCCTGCGCTCAGGGATGAGGGACCTTTCCTGGATGAAACAACTTATTTTCCCCTTCCATTGCACGATCCCTTTTAAATAGCAAAAGAAACAGGGAGGCAGCACCATCGGGTTCTCAGAGGAGATACTTTTCCTCCCTTTGTGCTTCCTTTTGCTTTTCTCTGAGCCTCTCTGTTTACCAGGCTAATAAAGCTGGCTCTGTGCCGCCAGCTCTGGGCTGCACCTTTTCCCCGGAGCCCAGCCCAGCCCAAACATGCAAAGCTCGTCCGGAAACCTCCTGCCAGCTTTGCCCGCTCAAAGTCACCTTGCCCCAAACCTTCAGCTCCACGCTCCGGGCTTGCTCGACAATCATTAATCGGCTTCTCCGTGTTCCTGGCATGGAAAAATGCCCCAGCAGGTAACCCTGCCCTGGCAGTCCGACATGCAGCTGGCCGGCAAGCTGGTCCTCTCCGCCGCCGCTCTGCTCTTCCTGACTTTGGCGTACAGGTTTTATAAGTCCCGCTCGCTCGCCGGGGGCAAAATCCCGCTGGCTGACGCGGGAGGAGAGCAGAGGGAAAACGCTGCCCGGGATGGGGATGGTGCAGTGGGTCTGCGACGGAGAAGGGTGTTTGGTGAGGAGGTGAGGAAGGATGGCGGGGAGGCACAAGCGAGCGGTCAAGCGAGCGTCCCTGCGATGCAGCACACGCTTCCCCGGGGGGATCGAAGTCTGCCAAGGGGTGAGGAGGAGGAGGAGGAGGAAGGAGAGGAGATGGTTTCTGAACTTGGGCTGACTTGCAGGAGAGCGGGGATGGCCGGGAGGGGAAGTGAGCTGGGAAGCAAGCCGGGAAGCGAGCTGGGAAGTAAGTTGGGAAACAAGTCAGGAATCGAGCCGGGAAGTGATCCGGGAAGCGAGACAGGAAGCAAGCCAGGACACAAGCCAGGAAGCAAGTTGGGAAGCAAGCCAGGAAGCGAGCCGGGAAGTGAGCCGGGAAGCAAGCTGGGAAGTGAGCTAGGAGGTGATCTGGCAAGCAAGCCAGGAAGCGAGCCAGGAAGCGAGCCGAGCTCTTATGGCCCTGGGGACACAGCCGGAACACTGAGAAGCTGCGGGGAGGAGGGCACACTTGCCCCAACCACCGGGCTTTCCCCCAGGATTGCTAATGCCCAGATGGCACGGGACGGACACACCCAAAGCACAGAACAGAATTTGGCCGGTGGAGGAACGATCTGGGAGTCCAAGGGGTGCAGGGGGACAATCCAGACCCTCAGTGTCACCTCAGACCTGGGGCTAACGATGACGGCGAGCAACACAGGGTCAGACACCTCCTACTCTTTCTCCTCAGTCGCAAAGATCCAGGTGGAGGAGAACTACATCGCCGAGCGGCAGGCGAAGGACGGGGCTGGGCAGCCAGTCCCTGGCCTCAAAGGCAAAGTCTACGACTACTATGTCCAGTCCATCTCCCAGTCAGTATCAAAGAAGAGGTCTCTCTCCTACATCCCTCTGGGAACATCCCGGCGCCGCAGCTCAGAGCGGGTCAATGAAGAGCTGCAGAGCTTTGCAACCCAGGAACTGGACCCAACTTCAGCAACGCAGGATCCCACCACCTCCTCCATAGCTCCATCAACTACAGGGAGCTTGGAAATCTCCCTTGAGCCACCATCTCCTGGCCGCAAGGACAGCATCCTCCAGATCGCCGACAGCCCCCATCTCCAACTGCCCATGGAGGGTTTTGGGGTCACAGCACCAGCCGGCATGCCGCCTGCAAGCCCCCGGCCAGGGCTGGTGGCCAGTGCTGACCTCTTCCAAATGCCACCACCCACCCACCTGGACCTGGGGAACTGCTATGAGGTCCTCTGCACAGCCAAGGCGCAGAAGCTCAGACACCTCCAGGAGGCTGCCTACAAGGTGATGAGCAACAACTACCTACAGGTGTTGAGGACACCTTCCATCTATGGCCGCCTCAACGCCAGTGAGCGGGAGCTTGTCCTGCAGCGGAGGATGAAGGGGAAGATGTACGTGGCTGTGGCAGACATCAACGTGCAGGAGCCTGGCCTTCACACCAGCCGCCTCTGCTACTATGATGACAGAGGGGACTGCTGGCATCACCTCTGCCACGTGCCACCAGAGGTGGTCTCCCGGGGGTGCGCCATGTGCAGCATGTTCAACTACCTCTTCGTGGTGGCTGGCTGTGAGGGCACAGGCCGGATGCAGAGACCCTCCAACCGTGTCTTCTGCTATGATCCCCTGACTAACATCTGGAGGGAGATCTGCCCCCTGAACCAAGCACGGCCGCACTGCAAGCTCGTGGCCTTGGACGGCCACCTCTATGCCATCGGTGGCGAGTGCCTCTACACAGTGGAGCGCTATGACCCCCGGAAGGACTGCTGGACCTTCACCGCACCCCTGCCCCATGACACCTTTGCCGTGGCCCACATGGCCACAGTGTGTGACGGGGAGATCTACGTGACAGGAGGCACCTTGCGCTACGTTCTGCTGCGTTATGCCGCCCGCTCAAACAGCTGGAGCGTCAGCCCAGTCGGCGGTGGCAAGGATAAGACGGCCGAGATGGTGAGCGCCAATGGCTTCATCTACCGCTTCGACCTCCACCGCAGCATGGCCATCAGTGTCTACCGCTGCGGAGCCAAGGCCAAACTATGGTATCAGTGTGCCACCTACGCCATGCCCAATCTGTCCACGTTCCAGTGCGCCGTGGTGGGCAGCCTGGTACACTGTGTTGGCCGGCACTTCCACATACGCTTCTTGGCCGACCACATCTCACCACGCTTTGGGACCAAGGAGCTGCAGCCCTTCCCATCGCCCCGTGGCAACCTCCTCCCAGCTGTCCTGGTGCTGCCAGAGGGAGGGATGACGCAAACGCAGGTTTGAGGGATCCATGCCAGGGTCTCGTGCAACAGTGATGGTGGCTCAGACATGACATGATGATGAAACTGGTAGAAGAAGCCGCCAGCCCACATTGGACCACATAGCATGGGACCAACGCTAGCAGGACAACGTTACCCATACCTATCATCAAGCAGGCACCACACCAGTCCCCATAAGTAAGGAAGGAGAGAAATTGCCCTTGGATACTGCCAGTAAACCCAGCTTTGAAGACACAAGGAAGAAGAAAGCAGGAGCTGGGTGGACTCGTTTGCTTAGAGGTATTTAAACATAGGCGTGCTTGCTCGGATGCAAATAAACCGCGGCTCACTGCAGGCTCCCAGCTGTGCACTGCCCAATAAGTAGCTGCTTTACACACCGGGTGTTTAATATTGACCTGGACACGCAAGACACGGGGGATTTTAGGGTGGAGGAACACAGCAGGGAGGTTTGAGCCCTAAGGAGGTAGCACTCAAAGGTCAGCCCCTTCGGCATCAAGCCAACATTCAGCCTTCAGGCTTGACCGCACACATACCCCAGGGCTGGAGGGTGGGGGCCAGAGGGTGCGCTGCTCCTACCAGTGCCTTGTTATCTGTCACCTTATTCTCAGCACAGAATAATATATATATATTTATATGCACGTGATGTAAATAGGCACTATAGATTTATAGACAGCTGGTCTTAAATGAAATTAAAGTGAACATTTGGTAAAATTAACCACGGGCTACTGTTGCGCATCATTTCAAGCCGTAGCCAAGCCTAATGGGAACAAAGAGACCGGTGCATGTTTTACATCGCTAATTACTGCACAGACATCATCTCTGAGGAGGCAACCAAAAGCAAAGCAGGGCCCTGGATGTGAGCAGCCAGTCTTTCATCCCCTCTTCCCCAGGTTTCACCGACCTCACTCCGCTGCCTCCATGTCCTGCCAAAAGCCTACTTTGGGTAATTGCGTTTTCTTCCCCTCTAGCCATTAGAGAAACGGCTCGTCATCCGTCAGACCCAGACGGACAAAACCAGCTCCCAGATGGACAAAACCCTCCTCTACCTGCCTGCTTGGTGGCAGCAGGTCATGAGCACCAAGTCAGGGATGCACCTGAAGTGCTTGGAGATAAGAGATGGTGCTGGAGCAGCCCATGGTATCACCATTTGCGCCTTGCTGCTCATGGTGGTTTAGGAGAGCTTAGGTTAATGTTCTCTCAAGGTGCTCCCAAAAGTATTTATTACTTCTCTCAGTCACCGCCTGGAGGCCTCGCGTTTCTGCCTTCAAGGGCTTTCTACAAAGGTCAGTGGCACCCATCCATGTTGGAGACCTTGGGAAGCTGCATTAATTAACCCTGCCTCTGAGGTTTGCTCGTTAGCTGTAGCACATTGCTTCTGCTGATGGAGGATGGTGACGCATCCTCTCCTCGTGCTAAAAGCTGCGATGGTCCAGCCTCTTTCACCACCCTTGGGGCCACCTCTTCCTACGCCAGGAGGACCACCCCACCAACGATGTGCGGGGGCTGCAGCCTCCTGCATCCCAGCATCCCTGTCTGATGGGATGCCTGGGCTGGTGAATCTTGTCAATCAAAAAAGCTCCTTATTATTAACACTATTATTTAACTCTGCTATTTAGCTACCTCCATAGCTGGTGCTCAGAGCAGCAAGCTCAACAAGATGGGTTCACGCATGCTGCAACACATTTCTACGTCTCCCCTGGCAAAACCCAGGTCCTGGCTGCTTCACGGGAACAGCCCAGGCCCTTTGCAACCTGCGAAAGCCTCTTGTCCCCATCAGCATCCCAGTTTCATGCCCTTCGGCATCCCTGCCGCAGCAGGCTGGGCGCTGGGGAGCAGAGGACGCACTGCCTGGGTGGGAGCTGGGCAGCTGGAGCCCTTCCAGGTGACAACCTATTTTTTCATCCCCAGAAAAGCTTCCCTGGGATCCTGTCCTTCTCACGGTGCCTCTTTGCTTCTGTTTAATATTTCACCTTCCCTTTAACTCCTTGCTGCCAGGTTGCAACCTCAAAACCCAGCAGCTTTTCCTCCTTCCCCAGCCTGACGGTGAGCGATGAATAACAACAGCCGCGGGTGGGCAGCTCTCCCCCCTCTCCTGCACTCTCCAATATTAACATGACTCGCCTGGGGAGGCATTTTGGAGATTAAAAGTGCTGGGGACACCCCGTGCTGGAGCACTGCTTGTTCTGCAGGGAAGGACAACCAGGTTGGGAGCAAAAAGCATGCAGCGATCCTGTGGCTGATGGCGAAATGCCTTTTGGCTGCGGTTGAGGGAAAACAAAGGGGAAAGGACAAATGCAAACCGATACTCAGACCTGAACGATTTTTTTTTTTTTGCTCCCAAATACCGGCGCAGGGAGGAGCCTTTGGAGGGCTGGTAGGCACAGCGGCAATGGCGGTGTCACCGGCTGACTCCTGCCACCACCACCAGATCCCAGTCATTGATTTCCAACAGTGCCGGCCACCCACCTCTGTGTTTCTGCTGATGGGCCGCGTCTTCAAACCGCAGGTTTGCAGCCTTCGGGATAACCCTAAGACCATCGAGTAGTTTCAGTGCAGCTTGTGGCATCAAGATATTATCTACTTTTGCTGCTCAGGTTGGTAAAGCTGCCACAATTTACAGGGAAAAAGGGTAGGGAAGCAGGCAGTGCATCCTAATAAAACTCCGCAGCACGCACCGTGGAGCTACAAACCACCCTGAGCAGGTTCAAGCAATGATAAATACTTAGAGGTCGCAATAAACCCGTCCAGGCTGGGGGTTTACCTGGAAGGTCCTGCTCTTGGGAGCCTCTTCCCTTGCTGCAAGACCAGTCGCTGCAAACCGGGACCCTCGCTGGATTGGAGACCACCAGGGCTGGGTGCTGGAAGAGAAAACACAACCACCACCAGGCTCATGAGATCTGGGAAAACCAGTTTCCACCATCCACTAACAATTCTTCCATCCCTATAATTCCTTCAAGGGTGACACCAAGGATGCTCTCCAGCCAAGAGCTCCTTCATCACCAGTGCCTGGACCCATCGCTGCCCTCTGAGCCCCCCTTTATCTCCCAAAAGAAGGGTGCAACCACTAAACCGCGCTGCTTTGCAACCAAATACAACCTTTGCACTAAATTCGGTATTTTTTCCTAATCAGGAAGACCCATTATCTACCCCCGCCACGTTTATTTAGGCAATTACGTAGTTTAATGTACATTGATTCAGATTCTTAATTTTTACATTTTTGATTATGATAAAAAACCAGGGAGTGACGCATTTCTTATTTGCTCGGCGCTCTTTTTTCCTTTGCAACGTGCCAAGCTGCATGCGAATGGAAATTGGAAGTCAATTAAAGAAGTGCAAAACCAGCATTTTAAAATCTTTTTTATTAGTTAAACACGGCTACCTTCAATGTGTCGACTACAGCAGGGTGGAAAAAAAACCTCAAAAAGCAAAAAAGTGAGCTTATCCAGACATGTTTTGCATTTAAAACCGACGCTGTGCATGAAAGAAATATTAAGCGTAGCGAACTGACAAATTAAGTATCTCGTTCCTGACAAGCGGGAGCAAACTCGTGTCGCTGGTTGAGGAGCCGGGTGGGAATTTAAAGCCAGGGGAAGGGAAAGATTCATCGCAGCATCTCTACGTGCCAGTAAGGGAGGTGGCACCTCTCAGCCCCTGGCCGTGGTTTCTCCTAGACCCTCTGCAGACTTGCCTACGGCAACATCTACGCTGCTATGGGTTGCGTTGCCATCAGGAGAGCCTCCGTGAGATGTTTAAAGCCAAGGAGAGATGTCCTGTCCTCTCCCACTCATTTCTTCACCCCTCCTGCACCTAATCCAAGCTGACCACCCACGCATGGCCACCAGCAACCCCTTGGTAGAGCAGATCCTGGAGGCACCAACCTCAGCCTTTCTCTGCTCTGGTTTGCAACCAAGAACAACCCAGTTGTGTAGACAGGGAGCTGCACCCAAGCCGCAGAACCTCGTTTACAGGCAGATGCTAACGAACCAGGGCTCAACACGACCCCACCGCTTGCAAGACCCAGACCTGCTTGCCCAGTGCCAAAGGGACGTTTCTTGGCGGCATCCACAAGCCACCGCTCCGGGAACGTCAGCCAGCTCCTTGCGAACACAGAGAGATCAGTGCTAATGAAAGATGCTATCGCAGAGCCGGCGTCCGGCCAGACAAACGTAATTAGCAGTATTTGCAGAAGACAAACCTTGGCGAGGACGGGGGGGATGGGAGTACATCCCCTTGTGATCATTTTGGGGAAAAAACACGGCCATTTGGAGGCCTTCCAAGCTAGAATAACAGCCTCACCAATGACTATTTAATTAAAACCCGTGCGGCGTTCGAAGAGAGAAGGGCTGTGAGTGAATAAGCGCGGTGATAAAATATGCATGGGCTCCGGCATAAGTTCTCCCTCCCCGGCACAAGCCTTTGCTTAAACCGTTGATGGTTTTTGATTCACAAGCTCCAGTGAGGAGGGAACATTTGGCAGCCACTATTTCAATCCCACCGGGAGTTTTTCCGGGGGTTATAGCCACGCTGTAGTTTAGGATGTGTCAGCGCTGGCATCATAAACACAGATCAGAAATGCTATAAAAGGAGGAAAAAAAAAACCAAAACCACACTCATGGCTGGAGTTTAGCATCCTGCAAGCTCGGGCCAAAGGCAAATTATTTCTCTGTTACTGAAATAAAATCAATAAAGTTCATTTTTATTTACAGAAGAGCCAAAGAGGGGGAGAAGGGAAGACTCCTCGAGCTGCAGAAGGGTGATAGGGGTGTTTATGGTTTTCAGCTGCTTTTCAACCAAAACCACAAGGCACTGGGCAGTGATTTCAAGGCGAAAAGCAGAGGCTGGGCTCTTCTCAGCTGCCTTTCGTGCACCTTGTTAAAAATATCCCCAGGTCCCTTAGAGGTGCGAACCCTGGGGTGAAACCCCTCACCCCGAGGCAGCCTGGGGAGATGCTATCTCTCAAGAAGCTACCATCCAGCTAAATCAAATCAGGTTTATTTGGTTCAC